TCAAGCTCGATGCTTCAGTTGCAGGCCAAGCAACATACTCTCGCGGCTCACGCTGTACACAAAGCGCGCCTGCACAGCAACACCCTCATGTATTGCCTTTCCACCCCTAAACCCTAATAAACCCCAAACCCTAAAACGAGGCATCTAAGAACAAAAATATCAGCTTAAAGGAGAAACATACGAGGGATTGAAGACAAAACGGCCTAAAGGAGAAACATGTAGTATAGCTTGTTGGCGAGCTGTTGCTCGGAAGGGCTTTGTTCACAAACTCCCCATGTACGTCCCACGTCCTCTAACCTCGACCCGGAGGTTCCCGGGTTCTTATAAGTCGGCTTTAGGGTTTAGGGGTTGGGGTTTGGGGTTTAGGGCTTAGGGCTTAGGGTAACTCCGGTTATCCGCCGAACCTGGCGGCGTGTTTCTGGAGGTGAAAACCTCCCTCTTTCAACCCTTACCCCCCCAACGCGGGGGGGGAGGGGGGGGGCACTTTTGGAAAAAACCCTCACCCCCCCCCTACCCCCCCCCCCCTTCTTAAATATTATACAGGACCTTGTCTGGGGGTGGGGGGGAGGGGGGGCGCGGGTACTTGTTACCCTGCTGTTAAGTACCTATGAACCTTCAAGTATGAAGACTGCATCCAACGTAGTCTACAGACTAGCCCGCAACCCCGAAACGCCCAAGGTTTAGGGTTTAGGGTTTAAGGTTTAGCGTGTGGGGATCAATGGCTACCATATAAGGGCTTGAGCTGCACAATGCATTTCGCCAAGTACCAGCGGGCCAAATCAACTTGTAGCCACCCAACTCCTAGCTCCACCCTAACTCCTAAATCCTCCTCAACAGGCTGACTCCAAGCTCCGCGCTAACCTAAATACGCAACAGGTAAGCCCTCACCCCATAAGCCCTAAACCCTAAACCCAAAAGCCCTAACCTCAAACCCGAAACCCTTCTGGGGGTGGGGGGTCGTGGGGTTTTGTATGGGAACCGGACACTTCAAACAAGGCAAAACGGGTACCAATGTGTGTCATCTTGCACTGCACGATGCGGTTTACAGCTTATACGGTTTATAGGGTTGCTCGGGTTTACGTGTGCAGGGTTTGCAGGGCTTACAAAGTTTATATGGGTTGAAAGGGTTCACAGGGTCTATGGAGATTTTGGCGCGCCTGCTGCAAATAGTCCGGGTAGCTGGTCTTTTTGAAGAGGCCCCGCTTTTTGCTCCTCAGTCAGGATCTTGCCTCAAGCCTTGAAACCGTACACCGCGCCTTCTTCACCCCAACTACTTAAGAACATACATCTGCAATCCTCACTTGATCCCGCAAAGAAAGCTTCAGGGTGTCTGAAGTGGGGCTTCTATTTCTTGTACCCCCATAAGGACACCCGGTATAAACACTCACCAATATTAAAGAGGGAACCTTCTGTACACTCACCAATAACAGGAATATAAACCCTGTTTAAAAATATAAGTTCAGGAGTAACCCCTAAACCCTAAACCCCAAAAACCCTACTTCATATCCCTGAACTACGGAGTATCGGAATCGGGCTCCACATGGCAGCCATTGCCACATGCAACAGCGGACTACTTAGCTCCTGAGGGTTTAGGGTTTAGGGTTTAGGGTTCAGGGTTCTGGGTTTAGGGCATCTACACCCCTGAACCGCAAACCCAACCACAACAAAGCCAAGAGTCGGGCCGTGAGGCCCTTCTTTCTCTGCCCCCCCCCCCCCCCAAACCTCTTTAATTAGAGTCTAGGGGGCTTCGGGGCATAAAGTCTGGGCTTGGGAATCCAACTTAAACCCCTATACCTCAAACCCCTAAACCCTAAACCCGAAACCCGAAACCCTAAACCCTAAACCCACAAGCGAAAACGTTTCAGGCCGAGCGTCTCGCTGACGATGCCGTCCAAGAGCAGACCGGTCAGCTGCTCCCGGCGGAGGAGTTGCGTCGTCAGCTGTGCCCTTTTTTCGGCAGGGTTTAGGGTTTAGGGTTTAGGGTTTAGGGTTTAAGGTTTAGGGTTCAGGGTTCAGGGTTCAGGGTCTACAGTTTAGGATTTAGGGCTCCAGGTCTTTTGAGGTTCAAGTTGCACCCAAAGTAGACCCAAGAGTAACCCACCCGAACATCCTAAACCCTAAACCCCCTAAGCCCTAAAAAACCCAAAAAAAACCCAAAACCCCTAAACCCCAAACCACGAGTTCTGGCGGCAGGCGCCGACTTTTGGGAAGCTGTAGCCATACCGATCTTGGAACCCTAGGAAAAAACTATAACTTTAGCTCTTTCTTAGGAATTATAGTATCCAAAAATCTAAAAAACATTCGCCAAAAACCCCTAAGGTAGGCCGGGGTGCGCCGTGACGTCCTGCAACAGCCTCCACTGACCTGATCTTCACATGGTTCCCTTCTATCAGGGTTCAGGGTTTAGGGTTTAGGGTTTAGGGTTCAGGGTTTAGGGTTTAGGGTTTGGGGACCTTTAGGGGCTACCCATGTAAAGGGCTTCCGAAAATTAGGAATACCTTGTTTGGGGCTGTTCCTAGAGGAAGGATTCTAGTATTTTGGGGGTGTGAAGGGGTTTAGGGTTTAGGGCTCGGGTTTCCCTAAACCATAGTTTGGGAAATACCCAGAATCGGGTTTAGGGTCTAGGGTTCAGGGTTTAGGGTTTCCCTAAACCTACTTTGGGAAATACCCAGAATAGGGTACCCCAAAAAAGACCAACATTAACGGAATTGACCACGTGCTCCCCGTCACTAGCTGATGCTGCCAAGAGTAAAGGCCTGACACTCGGAACCAACCCTCCTTGCCCAAAAGCCATGAACCCTAAACCCTAAACCCTAAACCCGAAACCCGAAACCCTAAACCCAAATAAGCCTTTTACGGCTTGGGGGGGGGGTTGTCTTGGCCACTGTCTTCGACGTGCACGGCTTTGGGGCAACAGCTGATGGTCAGCGAGTCCGGAAAGTACCCCCGAGGACTTCGGGTTCATACATGCTCATGAGGAATATTCGTGGAGAGGCTAGGGCTTAGGGCTTAGGGCTTAGGGCTTAGGGCTTAGGGCTTAGGGCTTAGGGCTTAGGGCTTAGGGCTTAGGGCTTAGGGCTTAGGGCTTAGGGCTTAGGGCTTGGAGTTTAGGGTTTAGGGTTTAGGGTTTAGGGTTTAGGTTTGGGGTTTAGGGTCAGGGTTTAGGGAGTCTTGGCATTCATTCAAGACAAAAATAAGCTCAGAAAGCCTTTACTTTTCTTCTTGAAATGCATCCACGTTGCGCCGCAGCCACACAACCGGCGGGATCGTCTGGGCGCTGGGCTCCCCAACACACATTCCAGAAACATCCCTCCTAGCCCCTATAAACCCTCAAGGGTTTAGGGTTTAGTGGTTAGGGTTTAGGGCCAGGGGCCCAGCGGGGACCCTAAACCGTAAACCTTCCTAGAAAAAACTCGTTCTCAAGGGTAGCAACGCCCTAAACCCCAAACCCTATTTTCAAAACCGGTGTTGTTTTACGTGAGACTCAGCGATTCGACTTCAACTTGGGGTATTCAGGACCCTAAACTAAGTGTTGGAAACTCCCCGAATCATACAGAAAAGATGCCATAGACTCTATACTACTATCAGAGCCTGAAACTTGTCGGGTTTAGGGTTTAGGGATTTTCCCAAGGTAAGAACCCCATCCTGCCCTAGAAGCCTATGCGCCCTCAGCCCTGAAAGCGCGGAGCTCTGAACAGCAACCCTGACCCTTAGGGTTGCCCTAAACCCTAAACCCTAAACCCCAAACCCTAAACCCTAAACCCTACAACCCTAAACCCCAAACCTAAAAACCCTAAACCCTAAACCCCAAACCCCAAACCCTACAACCCTAAAACCCTAAAACCCTAAAACCCTGAAACCCTGAAAGCCCCAAGCTCGGAAGATGCTTGTCGATCGAAGCGGCAACGCGACTGTTTTGCTGGGATCGGATGGCCAAGTCGTGCAAGTAGCCTCGGCCAGGGTTTAGGGTTTAGGGTTTAGGGTTTAGGGTTTAGGGTTTAGGGTTTAGGGTTTAGGGTTTAGGGTTTAGGGTTTAGGGTTTAGGGCTAGGGTTTAGGGTTTAGGCAAGGTTGAACTAAACTCGGTGTGTAAGTGTGTGGTCGCGTTGGTAATGGGGCATGTGTGGGTCTGCTTATCTGCGTTTGTTGTTCATAGGTGTTGCTGCATAGCTTCATGTGGAACAGAACTTCATGGATGCTGCTGTATTTAACAATAGGCCACTTGCTACATTTCGTGTTGCATTGCCCCCCCTAAGCCCTAAACCCTTATAAACCCTAAACCTCCGCGCTCTCCCTCCCCGTATGGCATCTCCTTCACCTCTCATGCTATCTCCACCCCCCCCCCCTACTCCGCGCGACCCTAAACGCCCAAACCCTAACTTCCTACCAGGATGGGCTATGAGCCATAATCCCCATAATCAACCCTATAAAAGGGCCAATTTACGCGGTCATAGGGTACAATCGCCCGTCCTGGTAACTCTTAGCCCTAAACCCAGGACACCTCAGTATAGGGCGCCCCTGGCCACTCAAGCCTGTACTCTCTTGGGCTGTGGGGAATTCTGGGCTTCCATGTGTCCTTCAGCTGTCCGCAAAGACGTACTACGGCGAAGTATGGCGTGTTTACGTGCTCATAGCACCCGAAACCCTAGCTACCCCGAAATTCCAACCCCAAACCCGAAACCCTAGACCGAGGCAACCCTAATACACACACTTGGTCATATACTTTACAAGCTATGATATATAGCATCGAAGAGTGTATACAGTACAGACTTCACTGCACATTCTATGTTCTGCATTCTATACCCTAAGGCCAGAAACTCAAAATCCGAAACACTTTGAGGCCCAGGGGCCATAGGCGTGCACGTTGTCGAAGGCATCCTTTGCTTCATTCGCGCAGGCGGGGGCATAGGAGGTTTAGGGTTTACGGTTTTGAAAGTCTAAAGTCTTAAACCCTCAGCCCGAAAGTCTAAGTTTTAAGCCCTACAGAACTCCTGGAGTACGTTACGTCGATGGCTGCTGTGCCAGCTGGGACATCTCACCTTGGGGTTGGGGTTTACGGTTTAGGGTTTCCAGAGTTCGGGTTAAGCCTCTCCCCGCCCCTCCTGCACCCTAAGACCCCCTAACTCCGACTCCTCCTAAACCTTCCCCCCCCCCCCCCCCCCTAAACCCTAAACCCTAACCCTAAACCCTAAACCCTACACCCTAAACCCTAAACTCCCCAACTCCCCAACTCCTCACGATGGCGGCCGGGGTGCACCGAGACCGGACTTTGCTGATCTCAGTTTCGGGCCTCGGCTCTTCACTTAGGGCTCATAGGGGATTATATATATATATATGTATATATATATATATACATACATATATATATATATACATACATACATACATATATATATATACATATATATGACAGGGTTTAGGGTTTAGGGTTTAGGGTTTAGGGTTTAGGGTTTAGGGTTTAGGGTTTGGGGTTGGGGTTTAGGGTTTAGGCTGCTTCCAAAACCACCAGTCGACCCTGCCACCATGCTTGGACACCAGAACGTCTCCCTCGATGAGAGGTGGCTTCCACCTCAAATCCAAGGCGCAGCGGGCGCCATCCACAATGGCTCCCTAAACCCTAAACCCCAAACCCCAAACCCTAAACCCTGCACCCTAAACCCTAAACCCTAAACCCTAAACCCTAAACCCTAAACCCTGCTTCAATAGGGTGTCGACTGTCCTGGCCTTGGGACTTTGCCGTAAAAAACCTAAACAGCCCACTTTTGCCATGTGCCGAAGCTAGGGTTTAGGGTTTGAGGCTTCACGCTACTCCGAACCCTAAACCCTAAACCCTAAACCCTAAACCCTAAACCCTAAACCCTAAACCCTAAACCCTAAACCCTAAACCCTAAACCCTAAACCCTACTCCGAAACAGCATCAAAAATGGGAGATCTTACTCGGCCTGAGGACCCACAAGAGGTGGGACAGAAAGACACCTCGACTCAATGACCCCAAACTCCCATGCGCTCCTAAGCCCCAAACCCTAAACCCTAAACCCCAAACCCCAAACCCTAAACCCCAAACCCCAAACCCCAAACCCCAAACCCCCAAACCCCAAACCCCAAACCCTAAACCGCAAACCCCAAACCCCCAACCCCAAACCCTAAGCCCTGCCCAGCAAACTGCAAACTATGGAAGTGAGTTGGCTGACGCTCTCAGCTTCGCACGCGAAGGAGGACCTGGCTGGGCACCAGGGTGTCGGGCGTTTCGGGTTTAGGGTTTAGGGTTTGGGGTTTGGGGTTTGGGGTTTAGGGTTTGGGGTTTGGGTTTGGGGTTTGGGGTTTGGGGTTTAGGGTTTAGGGTTTAGGGTTTGGGGTTTGGGGTTTAGGGTTAGGGCTTTATGTCTCGGGTCCCAAGTATGGGCCCTTAATTTGGGTCCCTTGTTATAGAACCCTAAATACGCTATATGAGAAGAAGACCCATAGCTCGGATCCCTTTCAAGAAGGGTAAGGGACCATGCTCAGGGGCCATGGTTCCAACCTTGGATTGTAGGATTTAGGTCTTTCTAGGTTTAGGGTTTAGGGTTTAGGGTTTAGGGTTTAGGGTTTAGGGTTTAGGGTTTAGGGTTTAGGGTTTAGGGTTTAGGGTTTAGGGTCTGTTGCTCCGGGCGCAGGATCTTCGACATTTCTAGGTTTTAGGGGTGTTTGGGGGAACGGGGTTCAAGGCCAGCCAGGGGCTTAGGGGATCTTAGGCGGGGTTTTGGGGTCGAGGGATTTAGGCTTTTAATGCCCTAGGGTTAGGATGTTGTATGTAACACCTCAACCCTAAACCCTAAACCCTAAACCCTAGACTCTAAACCCTAAACCCTATTTGGGTTTGAGGGTTTTCTGGGGCATTTGGGGGCGTTTCAGGGCTACATGTGGTTTGGGGCTTCAGGGCTTAAGGTGTTGACGAACCAACTAACAAGTATGGAGGAGTGCTTAGGGTTCAGGTTTGCAGAGTGTTAGGTTTAGGGTTTATGGTGAACTCGACGAGTTTCCGTCTCTGTCCGTACCTATAACTTCAGCTTTTCAGGGGTCTGGGGCTTGGGGGCTAGGGTTCAGGGCTGAGGGCTAGGGCTAGAATTCAAAAAACTCGCAACCTAAAACTGGGCAGAAGCAGCTTGTCCCCTGCTGTTTTCACCATTGACCTAAACCCTTAACCCTAAACCCTGTTTAGGGTTTAGGGTTTGGGGTTTGGGGTTTGGGGTTTAGGGTCTGAATGCTGAGGCTCTTTGTCAACACCACTGCCGGCCCCCTTTTTTCCCCAGCGCCCGCTAGACGGCGGCCATGTACTGGGCTCGTGCCTCCGCGGTTTAGGGCTTAGGGTTTAGGGTTTAGGGTTAGGGGTTAGGGTTTAGGGTTTAGGGTTTAGGGCTAGGGTTTAGGGTTTCGGGTGTAGGGTTGAGGTCAAACACAAACAAGGTAACTTGGGTTTAGGGGTGTAGGGCATGTACCTTAGTCTTTGGGTGGAGTTTTTTTTTGGGTCTTTTTTTTTTTTTTTTTTGGCCTTTTTTTTTTTTTTGGTCGATTTCCTTGGTTTTCTCTAGGAAAAACCCTACTTTCCTTACATTTTGGACGGATTTTCTGTCATTTCCCTGAGGTTTTCGTTGGTTTTTCATAGGGAAAAACCTATTTTTTTACATTTTGGACGGATTTCCTGTAATTTCCCTTAGGTTGAAGCACGCTCTGCACGGCTTAAAAAAAGCGGGGGGGTTGGGGGGGGCGCAGCCCCCCCCATTTGCAAACACAATGCACACACGATGTTTTTCAACTAGTTTCTTGGGCTTTGAAGCACGCTTGGTACAGCTTAAAAGAAGCGGGGGGGTTGGGGGGGGCGCAGCCCCCCCCATTTGCAATGCTCACACGATGTTTTTCAACTAGTTTCTTGGGTTGGGAAGCACGCTTGGTACGGCTTAAAAGAAGCAGGGGGGGTTGGGGGGGGGCGCAGCCACCCCCCATTTGCAAACACCCTGCTCACATGATGGGTGTCAACAAGTTTCTTGGGCTTTGAAGCGCGCTCTGCACGGCTTAAAAAACAAAAAAAAGCGGGGGGGTTGGGGGGGGCGCAGCCCCCCCCATTTGCAAACACAATGCTCACACGATGCTTTTCAACTAGTTTCTTGGGCTTTGAAGCACGCTTGGTACGACTTAAAAGAAGCGGGGGGGGGGTTGGGGGAAAACACAGCCCCCCCCCCATTTGCAAACACCCTGCTCACATGACGGGTGTCAACAAGTTTCTTGGGCTTTGAAGCACGCTCTGCACGGCTTGAAAAAAACGAGGTTTTCGTTCGTTTTTCCTAAGGAAACCCTCTTCTGATTACATTTTGGACGGATTTCGTCAAACGTCAAAGCGTACGTTGCTTTTCCTTAGTTTGTCCTAGGGAAAACCCTATTTGGTTCGTTTTCTTGGTTTCTATCATTCCCTCTATATTTTCATCGGATTCATACTTTTTTTTCAACTAGTTTCTCGGGCTTTGAAGCACGCTTGGTACGGCTTAACAGAAGCGGGGGGGCGGTTGGGGGGGCGCAGCCCCCCCCCCCATTTGCAAACACCCTGCTCACATGATGGGTGTCAACAAATTTCTTGGGCTTTGAAGCACGCTCTGCACGGCTTAAAAAAAGCGGGGGGGTTGGGGGGGGCGCAGCCCCCCCCCATTTGCAAACACAATGCACACACGATGTTTTTCAACTAGTTTCTTGGGCTTTGAAGCACGCTTGGTACAGCTTAAAAGAAGCGGGGGGGTTGGGGGGGGCGCAGCCCCCCCCATTTGCAATGCTCACACGATGTTTTTCAACTAGTTTCTTGGGTTGGGAAGCACGCTTGGTACGGCTTAAAAGAAGCGGGGGGGGTTGGGGGGGGCGCAGCCCCCCCCCATTTGCAAACACCCTGCTCACATGATGGGTGTCAACAAGTTTCTTGGGCTTTGAAGCGCGCTCTGCACGGCTTTAAAAAAAAAGCGGGGGGGTTGGGGGGGGCGCAGCCCCCCCCATTTGCAAACACAATGCTCACACGATGTTTTTCAACTAGTTTCTTGGGCTTTGAAGCACGCTTGGTACGGCTTAAAAGAAGCGGGGGGGGTTGGGGGGGGGCGCAGCCCCCCCCCATTTGCAAACACCATGCTCACATGATGGGTGTCAACAAGTTTCTTGGGCTTTGAAGCACGCTCTGCACAGCTTAAAAAAAGCGGGGGGCGCCAGCCCCCCCCCCAATTTGCAAACACAATGCTCACACGATGTTTTTCCACTAGTTTCTTGGGCTTTGAAGCACGCTTGGTACGGCTTAAAAGAAGCGGGGGGTTGGGGGGGGTGCAGCCCCCCCCACCATTTGCAAACACCCTGCTCACATGATGGGTGTCAACAAGTTTCTTGGGCTTTGAAGCACGCACGCTCTGCACGGCTTAAAAAAAAAACAAAAAAAGCGGGGGGGTTGGGGGGGGCGCAGCCCCCCCCATTTGCAAACACAATGCTCACACGATGTTTTTCAACTAGTTTCTTGGGCTTCGAAGCACGCTTCCTTTCTTCCTTCCTTGCTTCCTTCCTTTCTTCCTTCCTTTCTTCCTTCCTTGTTTCCTTCCTTTCTTCCTTCCCTCCTTTCTTCCTTCCTTCCTTCCTTCCTTCCTTGTTTTCTTCCTTTCTTTCATCCTTCCTTCCTTCCTTTCTTTCCTTCTTTCCTTCTAAAACGTACCAGAAATAACGCTTTCCTATGAAACCACAGAGAAATTACTGTTTTTCGTACCAAAAACCACGAAAATGCATCAAATCCTTTAAAAATATGGAGGGAATGGTGGTTTTCTTAGGAAAAACCAAGAAAATCGACCAAAAAAAAAAAAAAAGGCCCAAAAAAAAAAAAAAAAACAAAAAAATAGGCCCTCCTTAGTCTTTTATACTTGGGCCTCGAAGTCCCGAAATGCACGTTAAGGCCAAAGTATTCCCTATTTAGGTACATGGACCTTTAGGGTTTACGGTGCAGGGGTTGACCTCCCATGGTATACTGGGTTTTAGGGTTTAGGGCTAATCCTAGGCCCCAGCCCTAAACCCTAAACCCCAAACGGCAGGAGGGTTTAAGCTTTGGGATTGGGTTGTAAGGTGTTGCAAGACTTGGCTCCTAAGCTTTTCGGGCGGCATTTTACGGGTTTCGGCTCAGGCGCCCAGGGTAAGGGCACTGTTGTGAGGCTTGCGAAACCCTAACCCTAAACCCAAACCCTAAACCCTGAACCCTAAACCCTAAACCCTAAACCCTAAACCCTACACCTTGAGGCGTGGCCTCCGGCGCCATGGCCTTCCACTCCTGCAAGGCAGGAGCATCTGCGGGGTCTAGGGCCGAAGCCCAGGACGCCAGGCGGGTTTAGGGTTTAGGGTTTGGGGTTTGGGGTTTAGGGTTTAGGGTTTAGGGTTTAGGAACTCGGGTTGAGCAATTCGGGTTTAGGGTTTAGGGTCTAGGGTCTATAGGGCTTGTTTGGGTTTTCGGGTTTGGAATTCAGGTTTTGGGGTTTAGGGGTTTCGGGCTTCGGGTTAGGGGCTTAGGGCGTTATGGTTGTGGGGTTTAGGAATCCCAAGAGGCCCCTGGGGAACGTGGGGCGAGGGGCTTCCAGTGATTCTTGGCGCCTCCTAAACCCTAAACCCTACAGGGTGGGGCCCCCTAGTTATAAGTAGAGTTATAAGGGCCCTAAATTGGGTTATAAGGACCCTAAGTTAGGTTATAAGTCCCTTCACTACAGTTAGTATAGGGGCCCCACCCTGTAAACCCCAAACCCTAAACCCTAAACCCTGGGTCTGATCGTATCAGACCTTACTGGACGTTCTTTTGGGCTTGGGGCCCCAGGATGGGCCCTGAAAACCCTCTGAAGACTATTCCTGAATCTGACTCCTCTTAAGCCCTGCAAGGGAAAATACAAGATGCTCCAAACCCTACACCCTAAACCCTAAACCGTCAACCCTAAACCCGAAACCGCAAGGGCCTGCCTAGGGGCATAGGGTTTTAGGGATCCCCCTCGGCTTCTATATGAGCCCCACGACCCACGCAAAAGCCCACCCCCCTTACACCTCAGGCGAAGCACGCCTCCTTAAAAACCCAAACGTCCTCCATTGCCATGTTCTCAAAATATTTAGGGTTTAGGGTTTAGGGTTTAGGGCTTCAAAGGGCTTAGGGTTGACGCAGGGCTTAAGGTCTTCGAGGCCGCCTGTCCCTGAATTCCAAG